TGTCCTTATTGTTATTTAATGAGTCAAAAATGCTCATTTTCCAAATAAATATATTAAAATTTTCTTTCTAGCACATTCTTTTTCTAATAATGTTTTTAAATTAGCAAATGTTTATCCATCATTATTTTTTATCGTTATATAAATATAAATTAATGATGGATATACTATGATCTTATATATATGATATATATTATCTTTCGAAAGGGTAGATGAAGTTATTCTATTTTAATTGATAAAATGAGATTAAGAAGAAAAAAAAACATTTCCTACATTTTTATTTGTTAAAGTGATTTTAGAAGAAAGAAAACAAGAATAGTGTTCTTTAATAATATTTTAATTAGGAAGAAGATGTGTTTAAAAGGAAAAAATATTATATTTATTTAGAAAAGGGCATGTTGACCCATTTTGTAACTATGACGGCATTTATGAACCAAAGTATTGACTGCAAGGGCATTTTGAATCAAAGTATTGACGGTAAGGACATTTTTTAGCCAAACTATAAACGGAGGACATTTTTGTTTCTTTCACATAATTTAAGGGAATTTTGGACCCTTTTCCCATAAAAATATTCACGTCCCTTGCTCCTGATTTTACCACTAACTTACGAACACACACATGCACACCTTTTAAATATTTATAGAATAAAATTAAATTTCAAATAATCAAGAAATCAGTAAATTATAGTTCAAAATTCAACAACAGTTCAATTCTAAAAGTTACACATGTTATTGAAAGTTTCAAATCCTATACTTTTAAAACTTTATTTCCATAAAATATGTCTAAATGACAAAATCGTGTTTTTAAATTTATTGTTAATTGTTTTTTTCTGCAAACCAAAGTTACTATAAAATAATCAACAAAAGAAGTACAGTTAAAGGACAAACCTAGAGCCGTCAAAATAGGCTAGGCTTGTTGGGCCGACCTGGCTTAATCCAAGATTTAATAGGGATGGACTAAAATTTTTGGAGCCCATTTAAAAAAAAAGTTTTTTAGCCCGGCCTGAATAAGCCTGCTGATTTGTGGAGCTTGAGAAATATAGGTAGGGCCGGCCCGTGGGCCAATAAAAATTAATTAAAAAATATAATATAATACTAAAATTTAAAATTAAAGAGATCCAAACTCAAAATCTATTTAAAGTTTTTTAGGAAATCACTAAGTATAGAAATTGCATCCACCATGAAAATGTCCAAACACTTGTTGCTACTTGAAACTAGTTATATGGTTTTTCTCAAACTGGTAATATATTTTTGTGTACATTTAAATATTATAATTCTCAATTTAGTTATTTTTTAATATTTAACTAATTGAAACCGCATATAAATTGCA